ACTGCAGAAATAATCCAGTTTGAGACCGCTTTAACTACCCTGGCTCAGGGCTAGAGAATCCTGGGAACTGTAGTTTGTGGTGGCACCAGAGCTCTCCGACAGAGAAGGCTCAATGTCTCACAAAACTACAAATCCCAGAATTCCCTAGCATTGAGCCAGAGCAGTTAAAGCAGTCTCAAACTGGATTATTTCTGCAGTGGGTTTTCAACCATAGTCCAATACTTAAACCACTGCAAGAGCAAGGCTTGAGCATGAGACTGTGACTCTGGAGACTAGGGTTCGAATCCCCGCTCAGTCATGGTAACCCACTGGGTGACCTTGGACAAGTCACGCTCTCTCAGCCTCAGGGGAAGGCAATGGCAAACCCCCTCTGAAGAAATCTTGCCCAGAAAAATGTGGTTTGTGGGTTAGACTAAGACTTTGGGAGGCCTGGGTTTGATCTCCCACTCAGCCATGAACCCCCACTGGGGCAAGTCACACACTCTCAGCCTCAGAGGATGACAAAAGCAAACCCACTCTGAACAAATCTTGCCAAAGAAACTCAGTGATGGGTTTACCAGACACAACTTGAAGGCACACAGAAACAGAACAGACTTTAAGGTGTCCCCTGAAACAAAAATTTATCCATTCCTGTTATCATTCTTTCTCAAATTTCATGGAAGGGAGGATTAGGCCCAGAAGAAGAACCAAAATAAAAATGCACACATACACACCCTTGCTAACTGCAATATCTATCAGGATCACTTGGGACAGTGGTTCCCAAACTTTGGTCCTCACCAAACTACAGATCCAGAATCCTGAGACTTCCTTGACCAAGGTGACTGGGGATTCTGGGAGTCGAAGTACAAAAAAACCTGGAGGAGCAAAGTTTGGCAACCGGTAAAGATGGGATGTGTTTTAAAACCACAAAGACTTAGCCGGATCAAATGCTAACGCTTGCGGGTCAAGGTGCTTTCGAAGGGACAGCAGCAAAGCCCATTAAAGTACTCTGCTTAGCATCATCCATAGTTCCCAGCACCTAGAGAAGTTACTTTTTTCACTCTAACTTCCAAAGTCCTCCAATCAATGGCTGGGACATTCTGGGAGATGCAATCCGAAAGCAGTCACTTTCCAAAAGTTACTTGGGAACCAACTTGGAGCAAAGACTGTAATCCTGCACAGCCTTACAGTGTATCTACACTACAGAATGATAACCGGTTCGGGTCGCCTTAATAGCGATGGGTCTGTCCTATGGAGTCCTGGGATTTGTAGTTTCAGGAGGACATGTCTAGAAAGCTCTGCTGGAGAACTTTAAAGCTATAGTTCAAAGATTGCAATACAGATCCTGAGCAGAGAATTCATACTAGCTCAATAAACTACAAATTCCAGGAGTCCATATGGCCGTTCCACAGCAGTATCAGAAAAATGCTATTGACTTATGGTCCAAAACACATGGCAGAAATAATCCAGTTTGAGACTGCTTTAACTGCTCTGGCTCAGTGCTAGGGAATCCTGGGAATTGTAGTTTATTGTGGCAACAGAGCTCTCTGGCAGAGAAGGTGAAATGTCTCACAAAACTACAGTTTCCAGAATTCCCAAGCATTGAGCCAGGGCAGTTAAAGCAGTCTCAAACTGGATTATTTCTGCAGTGTGTTTTGGACCAATAGTGCAAATACATCCTCAATTGAAGCTGCAATAAATACATAGAGACTTAAGGCCAACATGGAGGAAACTAGTGGATGTTTCTTCTCTAGGGACAAATAGGAGGTGTACATATGTGTTTTGGAGAGTCAGCGTAGTGTAGTGGTTTGAGCATTGGATCATGACTCCAGAGAGCAGGGTTCGAATCCCAGCCCAGCCACAAAAACCCAGTGAGTGACCTTGGGTGAGTCACACTCTCTCAGCCTCAGGGGAGAGCAATGGCAAAGATCAGACAAAGCTTCTGTGTAAAGGCATTTGGGCTCAGGCAGGCCGCCAGCAAAAGCAGTTTATGACCCACACACATCCAAAAGCCATGCATTGGCTGCATCCACACTGCAGAAATAATCCAGTTTGAGACTGCTTTAAC